ATACATTGCCATCACGGTTAATAAAAGTGTATGGTTCAGTGCCCAGCAGCATGAAAGATTATCCTTTGTTTTGTTTTTTTAATATCATACCATACAGGCAAATACAGATCAGAGTAACAGCACCTCATCAATGATAGTTTTTTGCTGAGGGACGCTAGTTAAACAGTGAATTATTCTAATAATCATGCTACTAATATGCATCTTCAATCCTGCTGCTTCTTACCTCCATGTTGTCCGTTGCTTCCACCAGAGCTCCTGAAATCACAAGCCACAGGCATATCAATGAGAAAGATAAGTTTAGCATTCCAGTCTGCATGTGAAAACCACCTTCTCAACCAAATTAAGTTCTGGAGCTGAATCCTCGTCGTGGTGAAAGTTGTGCCTAAACTCCTCTGCTGTTTTATTTGTCTGATCAGAAGAGGCAGGTTTTTTTTCTCCTTTTGAGCAACTGCTTCGGTAACACAGCACGCAGAAAGAGAAGGGAGAGAGGGGGGGGGTCAGCCTTGGGCAGGTGCCAAAAACAAAAGGCACTCAGATATTACTAAAGTCATGACAAACACACTCCCACACATTTAACAGACCGTAAAGGTGCATGGTTTTGGTCTGTGTTGGTACAAGTACTGAGATTCATCTTCTATAGAAATACACTGTTACAAGTAAAACACCTTGCATGTTTCCTCTTGAGTGAAACTGGAATAAAACTTGAGAGTTGCTATAAAAAAGAGCCAAGCTTGGTTGTTCTCTGAATGAACTGTCAGAGTATCTTACCTTACGATCCATCAGGTAAACAACAGAACAGTTGCTGACGTCATGACAAGGTTGATTCCATCGGTCTGAAAACCAGCTGTTAATCAGGTCTTCTTCAGCACAATGACCCATCAATGTAAACTCCGAGGCCTTGTTCTCACCTGGTATTAAAATGCAAATAAACCCTCATAGATCAATATATTGGAAACGCTGAGTGTGTATAGATGATTTGATTCATTAAAGCTGCTTTCTGTCATGCACTGATCTCTGGAGATCTTCTGGAGTTTCTCTGGAGGTGGATGTGTGAACGCAAATGTCTGAGTAAGAGCCTCTGGAGTTTCTCTACCTGCCCCCCTAGTGTAAAGTCAGAATAAGTCCAGAGCTGATGTGAATACACAGCAGGAGATCCTAGAATTTGTTGGGAGCAAGTAGGGGGGGGGGGGGGGTCGATGCTGCTTTCTAACACAAGACAGACACAAAAAAAAAGATGTGAAGAGTGTGTAGGGATAAGAGCCATGTGATCTCTGCAGCAAAACCAACACGTAACTTCCTGCCTCTGCCCCACCACCCTTCACTTGAGTCCTGGAGAGAATTTGTTGCTTTTGCGAACATGTCTGAGCAGAGGAAAGTGTGTGAAACACAAACTGCCGAGAAATTCCAGACCTGATTCTCTGGAAATTCTTCTCAGGGCATGTCTGAAAATGACTCAATTAACGTCAGTCAGTCAAATGACTGGAGCTGAATAGATGGTCCTTCAATGTGGCCCAGGACACATCTACATTCACACAGCAAAAAGAATGTGTCCACACCTGTCCCAGACCACCTGAGTGATCAGATCTATTTGTTTTTGTAAGCTTTCACTAACAAATATAAAATAAATACAGGATAATTCATTCTTGGGACCCAAATCTGTCAGATGTCAGCAAGCCCATTTTATCTGTAAATATGTCGAAATATAATTCCTGAATTCAGAGAGCATTTTAATTCCCCAACACAGGTTTTCATGACACTTACTATAAAAGCCCCAAAAAAAATTGTTTTGATTAATATCTGTGTGTGTGTGTGTGTGTGTGTGTGTGTGTGTATGTGTGTGTGTGCGTGTGCCCGGCCTGCAATAACAGGGCCTAATTTTCTTCTTATAAAAACCTTTCTAACTGCTCTTCCTCTGTCTTTCTGCTCAGACACCTGCTCAATAATTGAGCCCTTTTCAAAGGCTTGAATAAAACTCACTAAAGACAACTTGGTCCTGGCCAACTTTCCACCAGATAATACCTCTAGAATTCTTCAACACCTCCTTGACAACTGTGAGAGAGAAATGTATTTTTACCACGTAGGACTTTTACGCCCCTCAAATGTCCATATCCATCCTTGTGGATCCGTTTCTGAGAACTATACTGACTTCAATGACCTCATGACCTTTCCTCAAATGTCAGCTTCAGGAAAAAAACATGACAGTAGCGATGTAGCTCTTTTCCAGCCAACATTCTCATATGATGATGTGTAATGCCAATTTCCTCCAGTAGAGGTCAGAAGCATGCTAACAACATTTGGTCCAGTTTAAGACATAGTGACTTTAATCCGGTGTCAAACCCAGACCTATAGCCAGTATGTGAGTCCAGGTCATCCATAAACACATCCTTAACCCCTTGAAAAGGTATCACCTGGACAGTAGTAGTAGACACATGAAGATCTACATGCTGTTTCAAAACTGTATCACATCACCGACCACCTGGTGTCAAATACTGAATATATTACTCATATATGAAACTTGGTCTAAGACTGCTGCAATAATGTTTGGAGAAGCTGCACATTCCAATACAGAGAACACAATCTCAGTTTCATCAGTATTGGCTACAAGGCACCAGCTATTCATAAATCCATGGCTTCCTGCATTTTAGAAACTTAATTATTGTCAATGTAGTGATTCACTAAATTGAGTTGCAGCCTTTTATGAAAATCTTTTCTAATAAAGATTCAGTGATGTAATCAGTTTCTAGGAGAGGTTTGCAGTGTTGTTCAGTCAAGAGAAATCTAGGATCATGTAAATACTGATCTCACAAGACAATTCTTTGTAAATGTATAACCAAGTTTATTTTGTCATTGAGGCAAATGTTATTTGCCAAATACTTCATAGCTTGATGTATGTTGTGATGTGTTGCTGATTGTCATTTCACAGATGTTAACATCATTATTATCATTAATAAAATGCACTGTGATTAAATGTCTGGTCAGAATGTCGATGTTCATTCAGTCTAAAGAGAGGTAACTTCTGATTTGTCTGGTTCACTCACACATGGCAATTATGCACATATGAATCAAGTTAATCTCTTCATATAGAACATGTGTGCGTGGTGTAACCCATTTAACCCAGATTATGTGTGTGTGTGTGTGTGTGTGTGTGTGTGTGTGTGTGTGTGTGTGTGTGTGTGTGTGTGTTGAGGTGCTGATTGAAGTCAGGTGTGTTAGAGTATGCTACCACTCTGTAGGTTATTTATGTCACATGTCTCCATCGCCATGTGTCTCCTGGCTCAGCTTATGAGTGAGTTTGCTGTGCATGTATGATTCAACTTAATATGTGAACCCCTCTTCATTTTGCTGTGTGTCTTTGTTTTGCAGCCCAGGGTCTGATCCATGCACTTGTCTAAAGGCAGAGTTGGGTGATGAGAGGAGAATACCATCAATTCATCTCTTTGTACTAATCATATATGATGAAGAATCTCAAGGAGGGATCCACCTGTCTGTGCACAGGGGAGGAGTTTTGAAGGGGAGGTTAACTAAGTTCTGAGTGTATCCATCTGTTTGAGACCATGCACCACTCCTAACAGCTATTAATGGTGGTGATGTATCTGAGAGAATTGCATGTTCCTGTTGAAGACTTTGGCTGCTTTGTTCCTTAGCGGATGAATAATATATAACAAATATCTTCCACCCATCCTCCATCCATTCATGACTATAAATGGTTGAATGGCTCAGGGATCCATTTGTGTTTGACTGTGCACACAGGCCATGAGATCTGTGATCCAGTTTACAAATGTTATAGTCTTTTTCACATCATGAGCAACTGGACTGGACCGAATGTTTCATGCACATTTCAGAGTCTCAGTGAGTCACAGGTCAGTACCAATTAACTGTGACTCAGTTCCATGGTGGAGGCTGGAGGGCAGCTGTTGTGTCTTCATATGACGCACCATGCTCAGTGACCTTGTTGGAAAGCTTGTAGGCTATAAACACACACACTCCTAATGTGTTGTTTTTCCTTCTTTCCTCATCTAAACTTCTGTCCTCCTCCTCTGTCTCCTTGTATCAGCTGTTTTCTGTCAGATTTCCCCTTGTTTTTATCTCTAGCCTTCATGTCTCACATTCATTTCACTGCTGCTCTGTGCACTGGTCACACACACTTTTGTATTTCTTAATACAAGCATTTTAGT